CATTGTGAAAGAATAATGTGTAAAGAAATTTGTCTAAAATTAATTTTTAATATTTTTTATATTATTTACAGTCATATAACAAGTTATTAGTAAATGTTAACAATAAAAACAATTTACTTCACTTGGGAAAAAAAATAATTTATGCATTATTATTTGTACATTTGCCCAAAAGCAGTCAAAATGACTTCCTTGGGCAATCTAGTGTTAAAGTGATACCCTAAATGTTTTATTTCGCATGAACATCCACTGTCTAATCATACATTACTATAAATGTGTATATTGATAGTAGAACATATATAGAAACATGTAATGAATAATCCCCTCATTTCACGTGCCCAGGGAACTCCGGGGCAAATTAATTTGGAAGAATTCCAACGCACGGAACCCAAGATCACCGGTGTTTCTGCTACAGCCTACGCTACACCCTGAATGGGATTCGAGTAACGAACAGAATTAATTCATTAAAACGTTCTGCAGAGATAGCAGCCTCTATTCACGGACCTGTTACGTCGAATCAAACTTCGCCACTGTGTTTGTCGCAGATAAGTTAGCAGCTAGACGGTGGCAGGCCGTTGTCTCAGACAAGTTGCTTATTTAGAGTGAAATGAATTTGACACCTGTTCACGTCACACATCAATTTCGAACAATTTGCAACTATCTATTAATGTTTAAAAATTATGTTACTTATACTAAAAGCATTGTAAAATTATATATCAAATTTAATTTAAGATTAATTTGCTTTGCTGCTGAAAATGTATCAAGGTTCTTTCCGAACGTTTCAGCAATTACTTAAATCTGTCACTAGATTCGTATCACGGTCTTCGATCGGGCAACTCTTTCCCAAGGGTAGCGGCGGGCACGCCGGACGCGAGACGTCGGCCATAGCTGCCACGTACGCCGGTGGCGCAGAGAAAGAGGACAAGGGAAAGGGAGAGCTTTGGATCAAGTTCAGCAGAAAACCTAGAACTCTACTGAGAGCGCGTGGCGAGGAAGGGTAGGGGTATCCTGGACTATCGAGCAAGCGAATTGTGTAATAGGGCCATTGGCACCCGTCCAAAGTCCACGATCCCGTGCCAGAGCCCACCAGCAAAGCTCCAGAATCCGAACGGCGTGGCGGAACGGTGCAAGTGGATCGTCGACGCGACGGCACAGAGCGAGAGCTCCGGGCTGAGATGAAACGTGTTCGAAATTGGGTCATACGCGAGCACCGCCCGTTGCAGCTGAACAATTAATGCGGCTACGCTCGGGTAGTTCTTGCAAATGTTGTGCAACGCCGGCTATCCTATCTCGAACGATCCCGACCAGGTAATACCTCTGTCTCCGATAGTTTTCACTGGCGTGTATTTATTCACGTGCTTATGATATGTAGCTGCAAACAACTGTTACAATTGCTTATCATAACAAGCATGTTAATTGTTACAGACTAGGTCAGGTAATAGTATTGTAAGATTTAGAATTAGTATAAAATCTGAAGATTCATCACCAATGTAAGTGAACATTGAATTCTAAATTCAAATAATGGAAATCGATATTCTCGATATCATTAATGCCACTCTTGTCAGTTCTAAATTGGAGACGTTTATTGTATGCATTTACCCCTTCTCACAAGTTGTAATTGCATATCGTAAAAAGCGTATAATTATCATAGACTAGGTCAGGTAACAGTATTATAAGATTTAGAGTCACTATAAAATCTGCAGAGATTCATCAGCAGTGAAAATGAACATTGAATTCTAAATTCAAATAACAGAAGTCAACGCTCAGAATATCATTAATGCCTCTTAGTTTTCGATTTAAGATACTTACTATGCGTATAAGCCCTTTCCCACAATGCATTTACTGCTTAATGAGAATCCACTGTAACGTTTTGTTTATTAAACTCTAATACCGAGAGTAGAACGTGGAGCGGATGCTCAACCGAACCATTAAAGAAATTCTGAATTTCATGCATTTTAATGAGAATCCGCCCCGTCAACAGACACTTGATACCGTGCACTGGAAGGCACGGGATTATTTTAAACTTCAAACACAGCTGCAAGCACTTACCTCCACTAACTTCCCCTTCCATCTTACAGCTTAAGGAGTTATTCCACAATTTCCTGTTATTAATATTATTTTTATATATCTCCGGCCTGATATGTAAAAACATGCCAATCTAAAAACATTAATGATTTGATTAAGTTTACTCATGATTTATACAAATCATGAATATTTAGCAAATTAGATTATGTTAGTAAAATAAAATAAATACACTTACCTATAGCAGCTTTTGTGTTAATATCAAACAAGGGATATCCTGTAACGGGACTAATGTGTCGATCTCCAGTTGTAACTGTATTGAGGAATATACAATTGTCGCAGAAAATATGCAAAATTGATGCGAGACCTTTTTTAATCTCACTTCTGATATTTTGAATTAATAACGGAGATTTACAACATGAGCAAAACATATTTTGAGCCATATGCTGAAAATCTACGATTCGGTGGCCTTCTATAGGAAATGTTTTTTCTTCGCGCGGTTCATCATCATTCACAACAATTTGTTTCTTATTTTTTCTTCCCATTTCAGCAACTTGTTCAAGACGTTTTATCTTTTTTTTGCTCGAAAATTTTCCGTTTATTCGTAATTGTGACATTTTGAGGTACGGATTCACATTAAGCAATTTCAATTTGAAAATCCCAGTTGCCAACTGTCAAACACTAATTTATCTTACGTCGCGCTGTTGCCAAGTTTCTTTAAGATCTATACATACCTTCAATGTGAATATTATTAAAAATTTCTTAATAAAAGAAATTATATTTAATCAAAGAATAAATTTTAAATACTTTACTATTCACGTATGTTATCTATTTATGTTTTTAATGCTTTTGAATAGTTGATATATTAAATATATGATGTTGGCAGATTCCATTAGCTAGATTAAAAAATTGCTTTATATTATGCAGTGGTACCATGCAAAAAAAGATTTTACACAAGGAAATTCCTTGTAATTGTATTAGACGATGATTGAGTGACAGATACATAGTCTCCCTCTGTCAATTCATAGCAATGGTATCGCAGGCACCGAAACGTCACAGCAAAGTGACAATATAACAAAATACATAACGTTACATGAAATAAACTTTTTTCTCCGAACGGTAAGGTGCGACAAAAAAGCTCGGAGGGAAATAAATTTCATTTCCATTAGCCGAGAAACAATTCGCGTCCCGCGGTTTCATCCCCCATCTCGTAAAGAATCAATGGAACGTCCTCGTCGTCAATTTCGCCGCGCGTGATGCGATTAATCGAGCGCGTCAAGTGGAACACGACAGCCGCGACATTTTCTCCCGTGTTGGTGCGGTGACCAGACGGTCTCCGAGGAACGCGTCACAGAATATACGTACAAAATCTACTAATTAGAAATCTGTAATTGTGAGAGATAGGAAAATTAAAATGTGGAGGAAAGAATTAATTGATCTTGCGATGACGATTGCATGCTACAACGTGTAATAATATTATGTATACAACGTATTTAATAACGTTTACATATACAGGGTGAGTCTCCTAACATGACATCAAATAACTCGTAAGGTATTCGTCGTACGAAAAAATGTTTCAAACAAAAGTTGCATGGTATCCAAGGGGA